CTATGGATTCTCACGTGACAAGGGTGCTCATTGACCCGGTTACCAAGAGGGCAATCGGCGTCGAATTTAGCCGCGAGGGCAAGAACCACGTGATCCGAGTAAGAAAAGAAGTCATCGTCAGCGGAGGCTCCGTCAATTCTCCGCAGCTCCTCATGTTATCGGGCATTGGTCCCCGCGAACACCTGCAGGTACTCGACACCATCAAACACACCAAGTTGATAAAGGAGTGAGCACAGAGACGGCTAGGTCAGTAGGGGATGGAAGTAGAGCGCTCGATGTCCGGAAGGGCAGGCAGGGTTTCCCTAGCCACCACGTCTAGATGACCTCTGGGACGCAACCACTCCGATTCAATGATCACAGGGCAGCGCGGCCCAAGAGTGTGAAGCTAGCAACTCATTTTCTATCTACTGCTGAGGAGTAAATTTCATGAAAAGCCTAAGGTTTGGGATTTAGCTAAACGCCTTCATGGTTTACTACTTAGAGTAATAATTTCAGCTTCACATTAAATGTATGACTACGCTACCAAAAAAACTCCGTTTTGCTTCCCGGAAAGAGTCCTCGTTCACACTGTTCGTAAATTAAAATTAAACCTCAATACTTGTTAAGCTATTGGTAAACGTTTCTATTTTATTTTCGATTACAGAGGCCTGCATAAATTAAAAAAATCGAAATTAAGGCTCAAAATGACATGAAACGTTCGAAATCCGTTATCGAGGAAGTATTTCAATTTTTTTATATAAACAAACAATATTCCCCAAACAGAAATGGGGAAGGGTGAGTCCCGCAGTCGATGTCAATGGATTAATAGAAGTCGATAATTCTGGTACAGAAGCTCATGGGAAACATTTACATTGAAAAAACAAACTGTGATTTCATGTAAGTAACATTTTTCTTTGAAGGAACTGAGGATTCCAGTTATCCAGGACCTGAAAGTAGGTCACAATCTACAGGACCACATCGGGCTCGGTGGGTTCACGTTCATGGTAAACCAACCCGTCTCTCTCGTCCAGAGCAGATATGAGAACGTTCCCTCCGTTCTCAAGTACGCCATGTTGGGGGACGGTCCTCTCACTGTCCTAGGAGGAGTAGAAGGACTCGCCTTCGTCGGCACCAAATACGTGAACGCAACTGAAGACTTCCCGGACATCGAGTTTCACTTCATCTCTGGATCCACCAACTCCGATGGAGGACGTCAGATTCGCAAAGCCCACGGCATTACAGAATCCTTCTACAATAAAGTTTTCAACCCCATAAATAATATGGATACATGGAGTGTTATCCCTGTCCTCCTGAGGCCAAAAAGTCGTGGAATCATCAAACTGAGGAGCAAAAATCCATTTGATTACCCGCTCATCTACCCTAATTATTTCTTTGACCCATACGATATGGCAGTTCTTACAGAAGGCGTTAAAATTGCTTTAGCCATGAGCAGGACTCGATCATTTCAGAAATTTGGTAGCAAACTTCACGAAGTTCCATTCCCAGGATGCAACCACATCCGCATGTGGACTGACGCATACTGGGAATGTATGATCAGGACATATTCAGTGACAATTTACCATCCTGTAGGAACCTGTAAGATGGGACCCTATTGGGACCCCGATGCTGTAGTTGATCCAGAACTCAAAGTTTATGGCATCAAAGGATTAAGAGTTGTAGACGCTTCAATAATGCCAACACTTGTCAGTGGTAATACAAATGCACCTGTCATAATGGTAGCCGAAAAAGGTGCTGATTTAATTAAGGAATATTGGACGAAGAATAGCTGAAGATCTTCGTGACCCTCGTGAATAACGTCTCTCATGTTTCTGTGCCGAGAGGACAACCGTGGATATTCATGCTTCAAATTAATGTATCCGGTGCACTCAAACGTAGATGTATATATAACAACAGAAACAGAACCACCCAGTAAAACAAATCATACGGATTCAATAGGGGTTGTAGCAAGAGTGAAACTGGCTGTTCATGTCACAAAACGCAAAAAAGTATTAAGCTACATAAATCATGTCATTTATTAAAGTAGTTACGAAATTACACAACGCAGAACACTGACTTCTGGGTTACCGGTAATTATGGCACCCTAAATAAGTCGATACATACAGTTAGACGCCTAAGACTTGTTTGGAATGTGTTAGTGACAAGCACAAAGAATGAGGTGACAAACCATAAACGGCAGATACGTTTTTCAAACTCAACGACTGCACTTTTCCATTGTGGCAAGGCAATTAAACCTCCAGTTTAGATAAATAAGCCATTACAGAACTGATTCTTAATGCAGTTTATGTACTGAGGGTGTCGGACGCTGAAATTTATCAGGCGCAGGATATGGTCCAATAAAGGCCAGTGAAAACGAGTTCCACAAAACGTGGGAAATTACTTGCTCAGCTGAACTGCCAGCTTTTAAATAAAGACTCTGGTCCACTTAGCATGAAGATGAATGGTAAGAGCTACGTGTTGAGGGTTCAATGCATTATGCTATTTTCTGGTTTGCATGTGACTCCATAAGCTGTCACATTCTGCAAGCTTGCAAAATGTTTTAAACCTGACGTCGGCGGTATTTTGTAACCAGTATGGTGTATCTCGCAACTGTATATAACTGGTGGAAGAAAAAATCAGTTCAAGTGATTTACATTTTTGTCATCTTCCAGTCCCGTCTGTCAATTGTGTTAGGACAGCAGATGTTTCGTGCGCATTTTTAAAAAGCAAAATAAATATGATGCGATAATATTGCAGGCTTCACGCTGTACAAATCTGCTTACAAACTGTGTGACTCTTTTCTGTTCGATCAGACGGTTTCAAACAAAATGTGAAAGTGTGGTGTGGTCGTATCGATTTCCGGGATTTCAAACTAAAATTCAGCTTCGACGTTCGACGACACGAAGAAGTTGAGCTATGCTCGGAATCGAAGTGTTGTGCAACGCAACGCCGAAATACTTCACTACTTAAGTGCTGGCAGCTGTTTGACTAACAAAAGTTTCTGTTCGCACTATAAGATACGGTCACCTGTACGTAACATTCTAATCCCGATATTCTATCACATAACACAACACGATAACTTTCAGAAATACCATTAAGTCATTTAGACTGAACTTGCACCAAAGAGTACAGCCCTTCATCATCCAGCAACCTCTTCGTCCTCTTATAGTGTGCTAATTTCGTCTGAAGTGGCGTATTCCCTTCTGTCAAGTGGAACAGGATGAGCTTATCACCAGACAACGCAGAAAATCGCAGAAGCACATAATCAGAATACGACAAAATGACACCACATACCACGTGTATCGAAAATTAAACTGGTTCTGCTTAATTCAAAATGAAAAACTGGATTTTATTCAGACTTTTAATTGGGATATGTTGACGGTAAGTTTAAATCGACGTGTGCTTCCAGCTTTTTACAAATTGTCTAACAAACGACAAATGTTAAGGAGAGTTTAAATCGACGTGGGCTTCCAGCTTCTTACAACTTGTCTAACAAACGACAAATGTTAAGGAGCGTAGAAACATTATCAGTTAGTGAATTAATATATTATTTTTTTAAAAAAGTTAACCAAAAAGTGTTACGCGAATCGGTATTATGATAATACGAGAATGAACACTGACAATGGCACAAAACGCGTAAGCGTTAAAAATGTAATTTTATAACAGTGCAAAAGGGCCTTTTTTGGCGCAGGAACTTTGCTATTAGCGATACTGAAGTTAAAATATATATTTTGTACGGGTGTCTGCGTTGCAGGTTGGTTACAATACGGAAAGTATCAATGAAATAAAGACTGTGACAAATGATACTGATGTCCAGGTACAGAAAGCTATATCTATTGAGTTTCGAGTATTAATCAGAACGTTCTCCTAGAAGTAGTTTATCGATCTAAAACTATCTTTGGAGTACAGTGTTTTATTTTTACCTCTTAAACATACGAAAACTCTATATTTTTTTTCCACACAGTGTATTTATGGGCTGTGCATGATTCATGAATAAACAGTCATTTGCATATACAGCATTAACCAACCTGAGTTTGTAATGAAGAAGTGTTGTGTTTTCCTTGCGACAGGAACTGAACATTTAGATATTATAGAAGGTCTATATGAGTTTCGTGTTTCAAAGGGTTAAACCACTTCAGCATGCACAGCAGGGCCCTTCTTCTAAATCTCAATTTCAAAGGATATACCAAAATGCAATATTTTCACAATACACATTCTTCTGAAACAATTAATAAGTAAAATTATTCAGCTGGAGAAAAGCTCCCGTATCCAGAATCCATCCATCATGTCTGTAATGGGACTAATTTCAACGGCGCGGATCGCTTTATCGTACGGCGCCGGCTTCTCGTTCATCCTCCTCACTCGACTAGTTATACAACTGTTACGCCCAGACATCATGGACAAAGAGATGCGACCGAAGGACTGCGGCATCCACAGCCTACACAGCCATTACGACTTCATTATCATAGGTGGAGGTAGCGCGGGAGCTGTGGTGGCCAGTCGCCTGTCGGAAATATCCAACTGGACCGTTCTGCTTCTAGAAGCTGGTGGTGATGAAACAATACTGTCCGATGTCCCTCTATTCATGCCAGCTCTTCAGCTGTCCCCACTGGACTGGCAATTTAAGACGGAGCCATCTGGTACGTCGTGTCTCGGTATGAACGGTGGTCGATGCAACTGGCCACGCGGAAAAGTTCTGGGGGGGACGAGTGTCCTGAACGCGATGCTCTACATCCGCGGAAATGCCAAGGATTATGACCGCTGGGAAAAACTTGGGAACGAAGGCTGGAGTTACAGAGAAGTACTTCCGTATTTTAAGAAATCCGAGGATATGAGGGACGACGAATACATTGATTCTCCTTTCCACGGAACGGGAGGACCTCTCACGGTAGAGGAGTTTGCATACAAGACGCCGATTTCAAGGGTATTCCTGGCAGCTGGGAGAGAGATGGGATACGAGGAACGCGACCTGAATGGGGAGAAGCAAACAGGGTTCATGATGTCACAAGGCACGCTGCGGCATGGGTTGCGATGTAGTACCGCAAAGGCGTTTCTACGGCCTGCTTCCAAGAGAGAGAATCTTCACATCAGCATGTATTCTCACGTGCTGAAAATAATAATCGACCACGACACAAAAAGGGCAGAAGGCGTCGTGTTCAACAAAGCTGTCGGCGGGCTCAGAGTGGTAAGTGGTTTGAATTACGGCTCCTGTGTATTTACTGACGGCTATCTGTTTATCGATTTGTAGATCGCGATTTTATGGATTGTTAATAACCACTTAGACGATCACAGGCGTCGCACCCCAGCAGATCACAATCGACATCTTCACCGACCTAAAAAACCTCAAACTTTGGATAATTATCAATTTATTTACTTATTTATGAAATTAAACCAAACTGCCTTTAGCCGAGACCAATATTTCAAACTCAATGGAATCTGACTTTTGTTCAATATACCAGTTTAGTTATGTCAATCTGTTGTGGAAAATATTTATGAAGTCTGATATGAGCTTCATGTAAAATGTACCAATATTTGTGACTGCATTAATGATGACGAAAATCTTCCTGATACAGTGTGGCGCAACGATGATGATAATACGTTTATGGTGAAATGTGTAAGCAAAACGGGCAGTCTGTATTACGGTGTAGATGGAAAATATATACATAGTTAAAATCAAATAATACAACACGAAAATGTACACAATAAACTGCATTTTCAGACGACGACAAGAACGCAGTAAATGCTATTTTCTCTAAGTTCTGGCGATCTGTTGCAGGCGTTGGCTAACAAGGAAATCATCCTTTCGGCAGGGGCTCTTCAGTCTCCTCAGATCCTTATGCTATCGGGGGTGGGCCCAAGGGACCATCTTGAAGAGAAGGGTATAAAAACGATCCTCGACGTGCCAGCTGTGGGAGAGAACTTGCAGGACCATGTCGCACTTGGAGGAACGGCCTATCTTATCAAGACACCCGATCACATGGCTCCCGTGGGAGCCAGCTTCATCCTTCCGAAAATCCTGACTATAAACACACTTCAGAACTTCGCCTACGAGGGACGAGGTCCTCTCTATGCTCTTCCTGAAGCTGAGGTCATGGCTTTCATTAATAGCAAGTGAGTGAATATGTACGTATATGTGCATATGTGAAATAATGAATTGTACCTGTGTTGGTGGTTCGTCCCGTACCTCCACTACAGGTGCATGTGTGAAATAATGAATTGTACCTGCGTTGGTGGTTCGTCCCGTACCTCCACTAAAAACCAAGTACCGTGGCATGTGCAACATCATACAAACTTTCAGACCAGAGAGCCAAATCCAGAAGTGTGGAAAACTGCTACACTTCACTAATAACCCGAAGCAAATTATGCTACTTCGGCTTTTTCTCTTTAAACACGCAATTACTTATTCCTGTCCAGCCCAGTTCACGGTAATAATCATCCAACACCTCATTCAACGCCAAATAACTTCCGCAGTTGACACACCGTAGTCAACGTACCGGCAAACCAACCAACCGACCTGCAGCCCACTCAGATTTCGATCGCAATGGTACTATACGTCAGTACGAACAGAGTCGTACTAGTGTTATATTCAGACATACTTCCTAAAACCTAGCAGCGAATATTCCATATACAGGAAAAGCCACTACTTGTTCACTCTCACCCTGAGCAAAAACCAAAACGTAGCAAGCCCCCAGACACATGGCATGCTCACAGTAAATGTATTTTGCACATGACAGATACGCAAACGAGACAGAGGACTGGCCTGACATTCAGCTGTTCCTTGCCTCGTACGCAGACAACACGGATGGAGGGCTATTCGGGAAGAAAGACAACGGATTGACGGACGAGTACTACGCCGCCATGTACGAACAAATTCTGTACAAGGACTCGTACTCTGTTCTGCCACTGCTCTTAAGACCTAAAAGTCGGGGCAGAATACGTCTCAAGAACGACAACCCGTATGAGCACCCGCTCATATACCCAAACTACTTCCAACATCCTGAGGACATAGCAGTGCTTGTAAGTAAGCAGCTGCAATGCAGTGGTTGTAAATTTTATCTGCTGTGACCCCTAAATGGGATAACAACAGGGCCCTTGGCATAGAACCAATAAAATTACTGCAAAATGAAACATCTAACTTCTAGCAGTGGTCGCTTTATTATTACAGTAACAAACAGCACGTGGTCTTCTTTGCTGCAGATTGAAGGGGCGAAGTTCGGATACGAAATGAGCAAGACCCGAAGGATGCAGAGGCTCTCGGCGCGCATTAACGAGATGAAGGTACCAGGCTGTCAGCAAATCGAGTTCCTCTCTGACGAGTACTGGGAATGCGCGGCCCGACACTACACCATGACAATCTACCACCCGGTGGGGACATGCAAGATGGGACCTCAAACAGACCCAGATGCCGTGGTGGACCCCAGACTACGAGTGTACGGAATACGGGACCTCAGAGTGATAGATGCGTCTATCATGCCCTTCATCGTTTCTGGCAATACTAATGCCCCGACCATCATGATCGCCGAAAAGGCTTCGGACATGGTCAAAGAGGACTGGCTGCCCTATTCGTTTCGTTACACATGACTTGAAGATCTTCAGCATGAAAATCCATATAGCACATGGTCTCAACATTCAGAGACCTGCCCGCCGCTCCTGACTTGTACTCAGAAGGTACTACGTTCAAAACCTGGCTGAGAAAGCTATCGTGAATAAGTTATTTCGTGGTTTTCCACCGTCTCCAGTCAAATGACGGGATAATACCTTGAAACATGTCCCGCCGCCTTATACCATATCCTTTCATGCCCACCATTTCCATCATCTTCCCGTGTTTTTCGATGCGATATGGCCTTCGCAGTTGAAACAGAATCGTAAAACATCCTAATAAATGTTTCCTCATAACTAAAACTACGGGCTGTTTTTTTTCGGAATAGTAATACTAACTTATATAATAAATCATTTTCCTGTGCGTAAGTTCGGATAATTTTTATAAGCTGGTGTAACTGCCAAACCGCGTAAGTTCACGTGGTCTTTGGAATGCACGTGAAAAGAATCTTTGTCCAAACACACAGAAGCGAAATGAATGCTTTACTTCAAAAGAGGTGCTTGTAATAGGGGGCATCAGAGAGTGTATACACCAGATTGTTCAAGTGAGCGTTTATAACCTGTGTCTGATAAGTAATCTATGAAAATATTTACTTTACTCTAAGACGGAACACGTGGAGATTGATCTTAGGTTTCCCAAGGCGTGGAAGAATGGAGATTATAGCCTCAAGACGAGACGCCACTTCACTTGTGTAAAAAGTTAAACATGTAGCTAGATGCGATAGATCACTTTTACATTTTACAAGGAAAGAAAACACGCGACAGAAAAAGCCAGCCCTCTTTACTTTTATAACAAAGTGAAACAAGTCACAAAAATAACCGGTACTATGTGATGTATAAAGCCAACCGATAGCTATATTTAGTTAAATTCCTAAGGAAGGTCACTGACGAAAATAAAGAAAAAATACAGTATGTTTTATCTGTAAACATAAACACTACATATCACAGAACAAATACATAAATCTGCTTTTTGACCTTGAATGTTTCACAAATATTAAAGTATCAGATGGACTGTCGTACTACATTCACATAACGTTCAACAACAGGGCTGTAATCAAATAAAGACTGGCAGAAACATTCAGAAATATTATCACGAAAGTCAATTAATAATTTGCGACTTAATTTTCAATTACACATAATAACACCCAACCCAGTGAAAACTATTTCAACTGATTAATTATTACGTTATTTAAAGACGATCTTCCTACTGTATATGTTAAAAGGCGTCGAATTAGTTTGTACGACGATTGCAAATAGTTGGTAGGTATTAGGCATATTAGTTCAGTTCTTCATTCTTTGATAACACGCACCTGTGGCCTAACTGGACATCAGAGCACTTAATCACGATTCGCACATTTTAGATTTGTTGTCAACTGGTATGCATGAAGCAGAAGTTCGCAAATTCTGAACTATGCCCCCTACAATTTACTTAACATATCTTCTCTAACCGCCAATGACATCAGAGATATTATGTTGCAAAAAACATATCAGTCCCACCGTCTGTCTATATTCTACTTTTGTTTGAATCCAAAGTATGACCTACAGACGTCCTGCCAACACCAAGATATCAGCTCAAAACAAACAGTGGTTTAGAAGAAACATTTAGCCAAGGAAAATGCTTTTTTCAGTGTCATGTTCATAAAAACGCGTATAAGATAAGCAGATCAAATTTTACCGAGCACGGTTACCCAGCGTGTAAAATGCTGGTTTCCTACGTACATGCGTCAGAATTTGCTTTTCTTAAAGCCGGTTATTCACACATTATATACTGCATGTTTACTAAGCTCGGTCTCGAATAATATGAATTATATTAAAATGAAAAATTAGGTGAGATTTCAGGTTTATTTATCATCGTTTCACGGTTGCTTATTTCGCACATGATCGAGGCAGTAGGCATCTCTGAAACGTCATTAATTTCCACGAGACTATACGACGCAACATCCTAGAACACATCCATATTAATAAACTCTAATAAACAAAATGTTCCATAAAATTGACAGCATCGACATAACAAACATGTGATTTTGATATACGCTTTCGTAAGTGAGAAAAATAATTATTGAGTACACGGACCTCCCACTAGTTCATCATCCGTAACGAATTCACAACACATTATCTCTTGTAGAATCAATGTCCTATCTAACGTTAACAACTAGATTATCAGGCTAATCAAACTACGCGATCAATTGCCAGTATACGTTAATGACTAAGATAATCCTGCTAATAGACAATTAGTGTGCGGCTATTAATTATGATGAAATCAAAACTGTGCCAGTACCTTGAACTTGTACGTCCTTTTTTCTTTACTCTATAAACATGCCTGCAGATTGGAACTTAAACGTGTGTAACCGTCATTATAGACACGCGAACTGAGCACAGTTATTCTGCTTCAAGTACATTTAAGCGGTCTAAGGCGTGGGTCTTGACCTCTCCAAAAATTGTGATGGAGGGTTCAATGCCACTCCAGGCAGGGATGTGCGTCCGCGCTTCTGCGTCGGCAGAGAGAGGCCTTGCAACGGGGCAACCCCTGCCCAAGGAGGGATTAATTCTTTCATAAGTTAGTTTTGAATTGTAGCAGCCCATACGACATTGTCCGAAAAATACGGAGAAGTATAATCAACTGGTATATCATTTTAAAATATCAGATGACATTCTTCAAAACCGTCTACATACATTGTATGTTGAAATACAACCTCCGTGCCACATTTGGTTGAAATCCGGTTTACAGTATTCGGAATCATTTTAGCATCTACATAACCCCTTATCCTATGAGTACAGGAGACACAGTCATTGCGGATAAGGTGGTCGAAACGTGAAGCGATTAGCGCTTTCATGTTCAGTGCTCAGGCAAAAGACCGAGGGAATTACGTATTTTGTATACACACGGATATTCCTCCATACAAATATTTTACCCAACGACATGAACTACGCAATACACACAAAACTGTTAAAAGAAGAATTTTATGAGCTGGCTGATATACAGGTTAAGGAAACTAGTATTATGTTAAGACATATCTAAGTTCTTTGATATCATATCAGAAATTACGTAACAAACGTTTCAACCAAAAGACGTTACATGATTCACTTTTTGATCACACAACATCTTGCACTTTTATCTTATTTGTGGGGAAGGGGGGTGGTGGTGTAACTTGAATACTGACACGTACGCTCAGGTTATATTTGACATCATCACGATAACATCAAATCTATCGCAAGTTAAAGAAACACACACACACAAAAAATACAGACAAATACTAAGTGACAAGACGGCATGTATGCGTGATATAGTATATAAAACGGATCCGATGAGACCAAAGGACAAGATCGTCTCGAAGAGCTCAGGTGGTGGTGATGGACACACTTTCCTGGCTCTTTTGACGTGCACTCTTGAGTTTCGCTGGTTGGCAAAACGAGATCGTCAGTGTGTGTGACACCTACATCCTCAAGACTGGAGCCGGGACAACAGGTCGCAGACTTCGCCAATTACTTCAGGTAAATCAGGTTTATATCACAATTCATGTAACACTACTTTCAAAGGAAAAAGGACTTGACAGGGAGAGGAAGATTTACATATGAACAAGATTCTAATACATGTGTACCATGTGATAATGGTAGGGCGAGACGCTGCTGAAAAGGCGTTATGTTCTGACACTACAAGCTATACGTTAGAGACCTTTCAAACTCTAAAATCTAGTTTTTAAAAAAAACTCCTCCTTATCGCATCCACAAACCAGATTTAATCCAAAGACAGTCTCGATCGATATTGTATAACATATTCGCCGTTCCATTACTTTTACATGGCTGTGAATCTGGAGAGAGAAACAAAGTTATATAAGACAACTAAAGACAAAAAGGATGAAATTCACCAGACGCAAGCAGGGTACAGTTTATTAGACTTATAGAGAGAACACTATATAGAAACTGGATAGTTCATGCCGGAAGAATGGAAAATAGATGACAACCTAATCATCTTAACTACCGACTTGCAAGAAGATGAAACCTGGCTTACGATTAAAGAGACTGTTAGACGTTTACAATCTTGAGGCTGGAGCAGGTTTGTTACTGTTCGTGATCAGAAGAACAAAAAAAATCTGGATCGTTTTGCGATGCGGTTTATAGCCTGGGTAATGCAAAATCTCTAATAACAGCTCGAGTGATTTCAACTACGGCACTATTCAGTCTATAAAAAAGACTTTGTATAAGATGCAGCTGCTGGAAGTATATGGAATGGACAGTTCGAAGACAAATACATACTCGCAGAGACTAGACGAAGACGAAAAACGTTAGACTAATGTCCTGTCGAAACATTTTTACATTATAAAACTACCTACTTTTTACGGGACTGTACAAAAAAAATCACATTTCAGTGCTCTCGATAAATCTGTGTTAGCGTACCTCATTTGCATAAGTCACTTATGGAAAACTTTTTTTTCCGTACAATGGATTTTTATTAGGTTAATGTCCTAAATACCATTGTACTAGCGTCACTAATCAAGTAATGAAAGAGTAATATAAGAGCATGAAGGTAGCATCGCCAATTTCAACAAGCGTTTCTTCACATCATACTTTTACAAAATGTGACAGAACTTATATAAAATGGAAATCTGAAATAAGAAATCTTTCATAAACACCATCACGGACAACATACACAAAGCGTGTTTCATAAACACTTTCGAAATCAAATCAGGAAAATATTTATAAATATATACATATAAATATTTATAAATATGATATTTTAGTTTCTCACGGCGGTGAAGATGCCCATGTTTGCCCCCTGGTTTGTAACGTCGTGTGGACTTTATGTAGCAACGAACGTTTCGAAGGAACACATGCCTACAACTTCTGCCCTGAAGATGAAGGCAGTATCTTCCTCCAAACAGTTAATATTTGCCTATAAGTCCGCATGACATTACAACCCATAAGACTAAAATCTACATCCTAATATAAAATTACATTTATGATATACTATATGCCACTTTAGCCGGAAAGTCCAGGTTCGTCCTCCGTACTCAGGAACTCGTTTGGCAATCCTGTCATTCTCAAATCAGGTTTAGCATGCAGTTCAACAAGCAGACAAAAGAACCGTAAGGTACAGTCGTTTTAAGATTTTGCTCTTGTGGTGGTAACAAAGTCTGCTGTGTACCTCAAGGCTCCTTATAAATGAATGTGACAACTATTTTAAAACATAATCAGACTCCGTTTCAAGAAGAAAGAAGTCACATGGACTTTGACTCTTACATGTCTGTTTGCATACTACTATCACGAAATTAAAATTGGCGACAAGGTTAATACTGCAACATTTGAAAAAAAAAACTCGTCTGATAAGCCACATAATTTAAATATCCGGTGACTGACTAACTTCAAATAGTTTTTTCAGAAGCTGACAGTCGCTCATCTAATAAATAAAGAGATTATGGAAACAGACACAGCTGTCATCCTAAAACACCGAGGTATATTTACACTAGAAAATTATGAGTTAGGCAGCTCAGTAACTGGAACATTGGAATGGGAAGGCATGCGATCCACGGACTGCACGCGCTGACAACCTTTCTCGAATAAACCATGGTGTAATAAAGGCCGAGTCAACATCTATTCGAAATTCAAGTTAGCAAATATTGATTGATTACATACAAATTACCTACATTTAATTCAAAGAACAGTGTCTGAGTGCAAATTTATTTAAAAAAATACGTGCATCTGCATAACCTACGCAAAATCGGTGATTTATTAGCCGTTTTATGTTTTGTAGCACCCCGATATAAAACACCGATATCAGTTATGCAACGACACGAACAATGAAGAAGTGCGTGCTCGCGAAATCTGCCATGGCGTATTACAACATCGTAATTCAATGCTGTCATTGGTTTCGTCGCCATGTGCGAGAAGGGGTTCGTGCGCATTCGCAAGGGTTGCGTTTCAAACGGGACACTCTGAATATACAACAGCCAACGGCAATTTGGATTAGGCCAGATGTGTGTGAGCAATGTCCAGTCAAATAGGCATTATTAACAAAGACTTTGCCAAATTTCACTTCAAATATACGGCGTTCATAAACCACTGCGGTTGCATAAGTAGTTTACGGCACATACACGTAAATAAATACGTCTACAAAAATACCAGTTGTGTATTAATCAAGTTCGCATCTTTAATATTTGTATTTACGCTGACTGAGTCCACTCCAGATTTGGTTAAATTAGCTATACGCAACCTTGAGAATACCAATTTACGACATCATAAATGTACACAATGCCCTTCCGTATGTCTACAAAGGCATTCGGGATAACTGGCAGCTATTTAACGATTTCTGAGCTACAAAACTATTCTCGCCAAAACATTCGGCCCGCGAGTAAAAATAACTGCCACACCTGCATTACATTATTTGTAAGATTGTCCCGAAATACGCACTATGCATTCTTTCGTGTTAAGAAACGAAGACGACATTACAGTCAATTTGCAAAATTGCTGGTCTGTGCAGGGTCAGTGGTGCCGGTGGCCATGTCTTCGACATCCTGCTGCAACTGTACCTTCCAGGACACGCAGTTCCTGGCAGGATCTTGTGGCGCTTCATTCACACTCTTCATGGGTCTAGTGGAGTATCTCGTGAGATCACAGGATGACATTGCTGATTCGTGCAACCGATCGGGCCGAGACAGGGTTAAGGTAAGTGCAATGAGTAGCCTATTAAATCGAAAATTTAAAAACGCTATGTCAATATAATTTGCATCGTCACGACGATAGACATGAAACCGCTTCCTTTGTCCACGCGGTTGACAAGTCCGCAGTACCATTGTAAAACAGGGTCAGACGGCTATAGTATGCATACATACAAGAATCAAATACAAAGACAGCGGTGCCGTGGGCTGTATGGGAACCTCGTAAAATAACAGCTTTCTTCCCATGTCATTCTCATGCGCAGTTAAAAATTTTCCCGTAATTCGCACAATGTTTAACAGCCTCTGACGGCAAGTAAAGTGACTGGCTACGGACCGGACAAGTGCGATTCGATTCCCGGCAATAGCAGGAATTTTACACGCGACCTTATCCTCGAGGACAGATGAGTCAGAGCGAGAGGCCGACCACTCACTCAGCTTCATCAACTTTCGAGGTCATAAAACACGTGTAGCATTTTCATCGCTGCCAGAATTTCAAATCTCACTCTACCATTTATTACAGGGAATAGAGAATTCTGAGTACGACTTCCTTGTGGTTGGTGCCGGGATTGCTGGTTCAGTGGTGGCTTCTCGTCTAGCCGAGAACCCGGACTGGAAGGTGTTACTGCTCGAGGCGGGCCCCGAGGAACCCACGGCCTCTCTCCTGCCCGCCTTTGCGATGAGCGCCGTGGGGTCGGAACTTGACTGGAAGTACGAGACGCAGCCACAGAACACGGCCTGCCTCGCCACAGGCGGCGTCTGCAAATGGCCCAGAGGTAAGGCTCACGAACTCCCACACGACGCATGGAATGTGAGTAGGAAAATATTTGAGGTTCTCCGGCCGGTGAATGTGTCTACGTTGGTCTACTGGGTTGTAACGCCGTGTGGCAGGATGTTCCACAAGGCGTTAAAACCCAGAAGACCAACACGAATACTGTCACAACGGCCAAGAGAGTTCGAGCATGTTATATAGTGACTGATAATTCCTGTGGTTGTCTTCAGTACTTCCAGGCAAAGGAGGTCGCAACCCTCCTAATTCACCGCAAAATTGCTTGTAGCAGTTACTCCGCGTCAGTTAAGGCGAAAGCCTTAATCGACGCTGCGTAACTGCCAAAGCTCAGACAGAGTCGCCAAGCGATCTACGGACCAAAGGATAAAGAACACAATTTGCTCTCTGCAGGAAGAATGGTTTCCGGTACTGGTGGGATGCAAGGAATGATGTACACCCGAGGGAATCCCAAGGTATACAACGACTGGGCTAAACTCGGAAACGACGGCTGGAGCTACGAGGAAGTTCTGCCTTACTTCATCAAAGCAGAGAATAACAAGAACCCCGAGCTTACCGAGGAAAATTACCATGGCAACGAAGGCCCCCTTGTGGTTCAACACTTCCCATACCATCCACCTCTATCTGAATCTATAGTTGAAGCAGGAAAAGAACTAGGATACAGAACAGGAGATCTAAACGGTGTGAATCAGACAGGATTCGCTATAGCTCAGATGATGGTCGATAATGGTTTGAGAGGAAGTACCTCTAGGATGTACCTGAGGAAGGCCGGATCACAGGGTAATCTAGACGTCTTCATCAACTCTCAAGTGACACGGATTCACATCGATAAAAGAACAAACCTCGCCACAGGGGTGGAATTTATGGATAAAGACGGTGTTAAGAAGACTGTGCGCGCTAGGAGAGAGGTTATACTGTCCTGTGGCGCCATAGGATCCCCACAGATTCTCCTCCTTTCAGGTGTTGGTCCGAGTGAAGATTTGGAAGGTTTGGGTATCGAGGTCTTAAAAGATCTTCCTGTGGGTAGGAACCTCCACAACCACGTATCAGCAGGTGTGGGTTTTTATATCAACGACACGAGTTACGAGATTCTTACTATGAAAGTCTTGAAAGAATACCTCGACACACATGGAGGACCAATATCAGGAACTGGAATAACGCAGACCACAGCATTTCTTCTATCTAAATACGCCAACGACGGCGTTCCGGATCTGCAGATATTCTTCGATGGTTTCCTGGCAGCATGCTCTAAAACAGGTTTGGATAAAGAATGCACCAACGGCGAATTTGGAGACTGCGGGAGACGATATATCAACGCGCGTCCGACGAACATACTGCCAAAGAGCAAAGGTTACCTCAAACTTAGGAGTACCAATCCCAATGACCATCCTCTCATCTTTCCTAATTACTTCTCCGTTGAACAAGATGCAGACGTCTTGATAGACGGAATTAGGCTCGCAATTAAGTTATCTCAAACACAAAGCTTGCAGAGATGGGGAATGGAATTGGACAAGACGCCCGCTGACGGATGTGAGAGGCCACCATTCGGGTCAGATGAATACTGGCAGTGTGTTGTAAGAAGGCACACAGGGCCCGAAAATCACCAGGCAGGGTCTTGCAAGATGGGTAAGGCCGGAGACCCCACTGCTGTTGTAGATCCTCAGCTGAGAGTTCATGGAATTCGGAACTTACGAGTAGTAGATGCATCAATCTTCCCGTACGTTCCTAACAGCAATACTATTGCAGGCGTTATTATGGTAGCAGAAAAGGGTTCCGACATGATCAAGAACACCTGGCAATCCTCAGATAAAGCAGATAACGCATGTCATAAATTTGGAACTCCTCAGCACTGCGACCTGAATTCAAAGCCGAAGACATCTCATTCCATATTACAACAATAAGTAGCTGATTCTACAATGATAGACCAGCAAAAACGTTACTGAATACATGAATGGTTCAATAACATACTTCAGTGGTTTATAAGTGAAATAAATATCCAACTAATAACTTTAGCTTGTCTGTCAACAAAGAACGATCAAAATGAAGTGACCAACAAGGAAGTCAAATAGGATAATAAGTTACTTATATTTATTTCAACTAAATTTACAGCATCAAACACTTCACGACACTAAAATTGCATTCTTCTTGAACGTCATCCATCGCCCTCATTTCTTTTCGAAGAATTACTTTAGGTGACTGCAAAATGTCTCCGTCCTCAGGTAGAACCTACTCTGTTGGGACTAGCTCTATTGATTGTGCTGTATAGAATAGGTTTCACCAGAGGACAGAGACATATTCCAGTTTCCGAAACGTAGTTTCGGAATTAGAATAAGAACGATGGATAAGTGCTTTCAATCATAAAATTATATAATCGTATACCTATATATAATAATCACAGGACGGGTAGCGTTGTAGATCCTTGATGAAAACGGATAGACTCCATTTCGTAGCAGAATATATATAACACTAGAGCCAAATATTGCTAACTTCTTCGAAGTACGAACTATATAACATTAAAATCGAAAGAAGAAAACACTACAAATCAGTGGCGAAGTCAGGAGGCTGGGGGGGGAGGGGGGGCACTTGCCTGAGGCGGGGCACTGAGGCACAAGCACACGAAAGGAGTGAAAACAGAAAAATTCGTTTACACTGTCAACTTCGTCAACAGAACATGGTAAGCTTATATGTTTACCAAACATGGTAAGCACGTTGGCTTACCATGTTACCCTGTTGAAGAAGTTGACAGTGTGGGTGAAGATGTCAGTTTTCCCTTCTTTTTGTGCTTGTATCTCTGGGCTCTTACTCGGGTTCAGTGTCCCCTGTCATCCACTAAATTCGGGATCTTGGAAACTATTTTTCTTCCATCTAGAACTCCTCATAAATGCTACTAATCACTATACACATACACGAAATTAAACCTTTGCTTTCATAATAAACACCTTAAAATTATCACGAAACTTCCGTACAGGTGAACTACATCTGTTTTCCCATAAATAATGCAAATAATTTTGACTTTCGGTACAAAACAGCTAAACTAAAATGAACTGAAGTATGCCATGTTGTTAAAACATAAATATGCGTCTTGTTACATTCTGATCAAGTGATTTTACAAAGAGTAAAAAAGGGAGTCCCCCATTACAGAGTATAACAAAAGTGATTATCAGTAATACGTCTTAGCTGACAATAAGAACATCCAATTTCATTAGACACATTCCCGTACTGAAGATAGCAGTCTCTGCACCTTGACTTTCTGTTACGCGTGCACTGCTGAAGATCTTATTACCATTCCTGTGAATCACAGAACGGTTATGATATTGTATTCTTTTGTAAATAATATTTTTATATTACTCCTACATATGAATCAGTTGTTATGATTCTATTTCTCATAGGGAGGGTAGTGAATGCTATTTAAATATTTATACCTCACAACCCATCGCCGCGGTTAGAGCAAGTAGAAATCATGCTTAGATGCGACTACTCATGTGAAGAGCTACGTCACACACTGCATTAAAAGAGCTACCCGCTGGTACTGGTTGATTATCTGATTATTTATAAGGCAAAAGAAAACGAGAGCGCAAAGCAGAAATCAAGTATGACCTACTCTGTGTTTACTTTATCCGTACGGCCACTTCCTGTAACTGTGTTCAGTACATTAGTGTCTTCGTACTAATTCCGCAACGCATCATGTATGGAACTGTTTTCTCAGAACAAAATATACCGCGATCACACACAAACTGTCACATAATCAAAACATGGGTTTAGTATCAGTTCATCATTAAGACAAAAATCCACCAACCATTACAGCAAATTTGGTAAAACATAAATAAACAGATCTATCCATGTAAGATTTGAGATCTATCCATCATCCATCGAAGAAAAATAGGTGTAATGTCACATAAAAGCCTCGTTAAAAGTTTTGTTAGTCTCTTACCCTAAACATCTTTGCGCTCTCTCCTATTTTTACTAGTGTAAATGCATAATTGAAAACAAACTTATGATGAATAAACTATTCAACAATCACAATTACACAAAACTCATTTAATTGCACCTAATCCAACTATTTAATGACACAGTGTCTCTTAAACGGTACAATGTTAACAGATTTGATTACATAAAATGCAGTATAATGAACTGTAAATAATTAATAATTGTAAAAAGTGTAGGCCCACAGTTCGCCTCGATGTTACTAAAAGGGACCTCACCGCAATATCAAATCTAGCAGTTACAAATTCTTTCTGTAACAAGTATTAATATCTTGCAAGAGCATCCTAGGTATCTTTTTAAAAGACACTGTGTTACCTGCACCGTGTCTTCAAAACGAAACCTTCCTCCTTTTCGGGCGATGAGACGAGTCTTCAATTACGCGCTCGAAAAATGGCGCTGGAGCAGGTCTGAGTACTCCAGTTATCCCCACCAATCAATCACCTACCATTCCAAAACTGGTCCATTCTCATCCGCCATCGTCTCTGGAGCGTGTTATAGGCCCGATCGATCAGTCACTCGTCACTTCAGATCTCAGTTGGAGCTTACATCTCAATCCCTTCCGGGTACCGAACGTCAAGACTTAAATGTTTGCATTCCGGCTTCGTAATCGCGAAGTCTCGCGTTCAAATGTCGGTCCAGTGACAGGATATCACACTTCATTCGTGGTTGTCTTCAGCTCCTCCTGGAGAATGCCGCGATATCACATTAAATCAGACTACGACCACTTCTATGTTTCAAATTCATTATTCACTAATCATCCTGCCATTCGACATAGTCTGAGATACTGAGAACGTCGTTAAATAAACCACAACTAAATAAAATTCGAGCCTGTACAGTCATTAAGATATTTTACGCGTAAAAAAGTTCGACTAAAAATAAAAGGACAATTACTCCATAGTTAAATTCATTACCATTTTAGAGGTAAGTAACCTCGCAGTATTCGTTATTAAACCATGATGCAGATGACAAACCTCTAAGAAAAATACGATTAGTCACTGAAGAACGTTTCAGACGAAACACGACTTTAAACGTCTATGTAGTAAATGTACTTAAATGAGCTGTTACCGTGCATAATATAAACTACTATACTGAGAGCTGCGTCATTATGCCTCTGAACAGAAAGTACTGTACGTTAGTGGTCTTCACATTTTCCTTCTGATATGGGGAACTTCACACTGCACGGTCAATTTTTTACTTACTCCTATTTTCTATACAGATATTACATGCAATTTCTTTCTAAGACTACACCAAAAGCAGAGACCGTCAGTCGATACGTAAGACTGAATAAGAGAGAATCTTGAAACTGGTAATGTAGAAGAGGGGAGGAGAATACAAAGAAGAGACTGTGGACCGCTGGAGCAAATTGCAACTAAACTCGTTTCTTGCAAGTCCCGTCCTCATATCTCCTACAGGTAAGCTAAGAAAAGAATACATTTTATTTCGAATCTTTCCCCTCAATTATCATTGCGATGTTTTACGTTGCACGAAAGTCACGGACGCATGAGTCGAAAATGCTACGCACAGTTAATATACACTTGCATAGGAATTCCAGAATTTAGAGCCTTGGTTGTACTGAAATCAAGAATTTGAATCGTGCTAACAGAGTGCATTCTAATATTTTAAACAAGTTTTTACAGTGGATGACCAAACGGAATACCAGTTGTCTTAATCATTTTCAGCGTGGCCTACTGCACATGATGTTGGCTCGTGTCTTCTGAATCTTGTGAGCGTCACAATTCGCTACCACATCGGCATTCGGGTGTGGTTATTCTTTCACAAAACTAAAATGCAGCTTATATTTTTGCCCTGCTTTTCGTGCGCGTTTCCTTGTTCGACACATACTTTCACATTGCTAATTTTACAATTTGTATCTACTTCGCTGCCAGAAGACGCATAACTGCTTAGGAATTCGAATGTGTGCTTCTGTTTAAATGTTTTGCTATCTAGAACCTGCTTTGATCTTAAAGGTGTGTCACCCCATTCGATTCCTTGCTTTCTTTGTGGATGCTTCTAAGTCTGCATCTCTTTGCTCTGAAATACGGCGATGTAATACTCTTTCCACAGGCTTTTCATAATCAGGCATACAACCTGATCATCTACAAATTCGAGGAGTAAAACAAAGTTCATGGTTTTAAAGTTATTCGAATTGTTTAACTCTTCATAAACGAGTAGTAAATTTCACGTGCCACTCGCTTTAGCATTAAAGAAATGTCCATTGTTCCCCACAGAGTATATTCTCGTGTTTTTCATGATTCTCAGAATTATCAGTTATTATTTCCTGAAACAGAATTAACTACTTTACAATGGAGGTGTATTGTTTTCTTTGAGGAACGAACTTTCTGTCAGTGCTGTGCTATTCCAGGATCTCGTTCTTTTAACGCGCAGGCTAAAACAATCATCCTGCGGCGATTATAAGGGGATGCAGGCTTCCAAGGGTTATGGATGAGTAGTCAAGGTTTATTCTGAGTTTTAAGCTTTTACACAGAACTGAGATGACAAACCTCTTACACGGGTACCGTATAAACTATACATTCTGTTACCCGTATGTATGCGTAGAAGAGACAAAACACAAAGGGTTAAAACTATTTCGGTGCCTTCGACCTTTCAAAAGATCACACTTCGTAAGGGCAAATGAAGTCAAGGTTTTACGTCATGCCACTGCTCACGTCAGCCAGAACAATGCACATGAATAATACTGGGCCGGCAAGAAACAAACGCTCTGTGTAAGGCGTTCCACAAAAGGAAATTACGTTCATTACGAAGTGTTAAATTATACTAACAACTGTCCATGGTATTGCAGAAGAAAGTAACATCCGGTTATTCAAAATACGGATAGTATTGGTGTGCATTCTGAAATACGACTACAAATACAGACCAGGTGGACAACTAATCAGTCATTCTTTTTTCCAGAGGTCGGAGCAAGCCAAGCATGGAGGCCTGCTCGTTAGCTGCAGTCAAATCCTGTTCTGAACGCGTCACAGGAATGACAGAGGAATCCTGTTCTCAAACCTCATTTTAACGACTTGATGGCATCGCAGTGCGCCCTCGGATACCCGGAAATCGACGCTGAGACCACGAGCAATCTCCCAAAGTCGAACTACGACTTCATCATAGTGCGAGCAGGCTCATCGGGGGCGGTGATCGCTAAGAGTCTCAGTGAAACCGACAACTGGAAGATTCTGTTTTTAGAAGCAGGTGGTGGGTGACCCACCAGTAATGTCAGATATCCCGGTTTTATGTTTAGAGAATTGTACAATTCCTGTTCCTTCCATGAGTTAGCCAGGCGTGATTTCCTTTTATGGTCTTAATTACGTCACAGCAATAAAAATAACTTTTCAGAATTACAAAGCAGTGTCGCCACCAGAAAATATTTCCTCAACTAAATATTCCTATTAGAATTGTCAAAATCTGAATATTACTGAGGCGTTAGGACATAAATATTAAAACACAGAGCATAAGGATGAGACAGGCGCTGGTATTCTGAACTGAAATACAAACAGAAAGCACAGGAAAGCTCTTTGAGTATCAGAACTTAAAAAGCTGTACCTGATTACATAAACGCGCCACTGTACGGTGTGTACAGAGCACCGACAGTATCTCATACAGAAGCTCGCAGTCTGTCAATACAAGTCTTTCATTCCACAATTTATCACTAAGTTTTATCAACACCGAAATTCAAATAAAGGAGAGGTGACCCACCAAAATGGGACTTTTCATGCATAACCAGTACGTTCACACACTTCCTTGTGCAATATTAAAAAAAACGCGTAATTTAGCACGTGGAATATTTGGATATGTCCGATCTATAGACTTTTTCAAAGTAAAACGTAAAAGAACCACATCGTTTACGTCTGTCCATTGGTTCTGAACAGTGAACACACAAAATCCCATCAACTGACTCAGCAAATTCACACAGTAATTTCAGTTAGGAAATTAGTACTTCTGCCTTGAATTAGTTTATAAAATGACATGTTTACTCTAACATTCCTCAACGTCTATCAGATCGTGATATTTTTATACGTATTACTGTTTTCCCCACAATCACGACACACTGCTACTGCTACTACTACTACTACTACTAGCAGTACCAGCAGCAGCACAAGAACCCCAAATATTACACAGACTGCTCTCATGAAACTTTAACGACCAAGATACTATCTATACATGACAGACCGAGAAAAGTCGTTTAACTAGCCACCTACAATACCGGCTATACGAGACGTAACGACGACCTCGAAAACATACATCGCAGTTGAAAAGTTCCTCACGAGGTGGCGCCACTCTCCACTATTGGTGCAAAGACAGGAGAAACCGAAAGCAG